ACTAGCCTGGATTATATCTTACCTGCACAACAGATTCTGTTTTTTTTTTTGTTTTTTTAAATCAATGTTGAATCTTCTTCAACCTCAGAGTTTGGTTACTTGTGGAGAGCCACAGGGTTCGGTGCCAACGCCACTTTTCTATTCTACCATTTATGCTTCCAATGGGTTAAATTATCAGACAGAAGGGATTTATTTTTCCAATGTTATGCTGATGATTTACTGATGACTCTAATAGGTTAGATAGACAGGTATATGCTGAAGACATAAACACCTAAATGACTTTACATTTTTGGCCTCTGAATTCAGAGGAAAGAAGTAATCATCCTTTGAGCAGTCATTTAAAAAACTGCTCAGTCTGTCTCTTTATCAGGATGTATTTAACTGGTTTCCAGTAATAATGTGAATAAGCTTGGTGAAACTTTTTAACTAGACATGTCATTTTAGTCCGGTATTAAACAATTCTGTTATCTAGGAGTTATTTATTTATTGTCTTGAATTTACAGAGGATTAAAAATACACTGTCTGGGATTAAAATAACATAGGCCTTAGAAATGTTACTTAAAGCTGTACTATGTTTATTTTTAACAATCAGGAAGTCCAATAAATGCTGATGCCTTAAGCTGATCTAAAATGCCACAGCTAGAGAGCTTCTAAAAATGAAAATAGATTTTTTTATTCCTGTTTCAATTCAATTCAGTTCAGTTTATTTATATAGCACCAACTCCCAACACATGTGATCTTAAGGCACTTTATAGTTCACCGGATCATCCAGTCAGATTAATTCAAAGTTTTCTATCTAAGGAAAACCAGTCGCTTGCATGGACTCATTGACTCAAGGCAATCCCTCACACCGAATATGCATGCAGCGACAGCAGAGAGGAAAACTCCCTTTTAACAGGAAGAAATCTCCAATAGAACCAAGCTCAATGTGAGCGGCAATCTGCTGAGACCGACTGGGGTTCCGCTTCCTTTCATCACCGGCTTCCTGATAAATCTAGAATCCGATTTAAATTCTTCTTCTCCAATATAATCCAGCACTATAATGGTCCCAGACTCAAAAAGGGATTTTGCTTCCAGACTAAAGGTTTACTAGTGGTTCCTAGAATTTCTCAAACTAGAATGGAATGCAGATATTTTAGTTATCAGGCTCCTCTCATGTGGAACCAACCTCCAGTTTTAATCTGTGAGACAGACACCCTGTCTACTGGGATTAAAATATTTTTTAAAAGAAGCTTAAAGTTAAGAGCTATCTCTATAGTTATGCTGCTATAGGCTTTAGTTGCTGGAAGACTTGGCTTTCCATTTTTTGGACCCTGCTACTTAGAGGTGAGTATTGGCATGAGTGTTTCGATTCGATAAATGTCGCGATACTTGGGTCACGATACGATATTATCACGATATTGCAGTATCACTATATATAGCCATATTTCCCCCAGCTATCAAAATTAAATGATGAGA